GGGTCCGGGCTGGGGATTCGAACCCGCCACCTTAGGTGTACGTGGCTGGCGCCTTAGCCGGTTGAGCTATAGGCGCCGAGCCCACATTTAATCTTTCCAATAATTCTAAGATGGTGTCCCAGAGAGCTGCCCTCTGCCAGTTCCATTTGACAGGTGAGAAAACAAAGGCCCAGGGAGGTTAGATGACACATCTAAGGTAAGACTCTAAAACCTACCCTCTTTCCACCACACTCAAATTACTTAGTACCACGTGGTACCCTCTTATGTATCAAAAAAGAGGAACATCAGACACCTGCCTCAGAACTCTGTGAATCCAACCAAATAATTCACATAGAACATATATACTTTTTTTTGTTTAAACATTTTTTTTGGGGGGTCCACCTACGTAGCTCCTGTTCTCTACATTACATATCGACTGAACAAACTATGTTTGAAGTAAAAGCCAAGTTAATATCATAGGTTTTATTTTTTCTTAATGTTTTTAGCTATCCTAAAAAAAGAAACATCAACATGTGCAATACAGGCAGTCCTCACAATCCACATTCTATTATGCAGGGATTTCTTGCCACGATTCAATTAAATGACACCAGTTCTCTAAGAACACGATTCAAATTTCAGTTACCATGGCATATTAACTCCAAATAATTGTAGAAAGTACAAATTTCACTACAACTTCAGCCCCCAAATCATAATCAGTGACCGATCACACCACTTCTTCAAAGTCTCTGAGTGACTAGTCTGTTACTCAGGTCACACACAGCAGAGTGTTTAATTGTGCTGTCTCCTTGTCCTAGTGATAAAATCCACAAGACATTTTATAAAGATGAACTATTAAAATAGGGAATTGGTTACAAAGATGATATTGCAGTGCAAAAACTAAAACTGAAGCTAATGGTGGAACTGAAATCCAAATGACACATAAAAGGAGTGGGGAAGAAAGTGCTGGCTGGGGATGCTGCCACTGCCACCAGTCGAGGGCCTCTAGGCAGGGGTCCTCAAACTTGAAACAGGGGGCCAGTTCACTGTCCCTCAGACCGTTGGAGGGCCAGACTGCGGGCCCCGGGACCAGTCTGCTGCTATGCAAGACGGACAGCGGCAGCAAAAACACCTGGCGGGTGGCATGTGGCCCGCGGGTCGTAGTTTGAGGACGCCTGCTTACAGAGCCACAGCTAACTTATGGACACAAGTGAGGAAAGGGGTAATGATGGAAAGGATGACAACGACCTACAGCCAGGGGTGAAGAATCTGCAGCCTTAAGGCCACAAATGAACTTCTAGTTCCTTAAGTGTGGCTTTCTGACTGAATCCAAATTTTACAGAAATCCTGTTTATTTTTATTAATATATTTTATTCATTTTTTATATATATTTTTAAAAAGTATTTAAAATACCAAAGAAAAAAATAAATTCAATGAACTAATCCCCCCAGATTGACCAGCCCAATTAGAACGTCTATAAGCCACAAGGCTGAGTTGATAAATGCTCTGCTCAGGATTTAGTTCTAACTTCCCCTGCCTGACTTGTGCCACTCCTGAATGAGGCTGACTGATGAGAGTTTATAGGGGTTAAGCACGTAAGTCTGTTATCAGCTTTTGACAACACTGTGCTGCGTTTCTGTCTGACATGGAATTTGTGAACAGCTGCACAGCTCTCTGTATTTTTTAATTCTGTCTGCTGAATAGCCCGTCATGTCAAAGAAGACCAAGAGAACACTGAAGAAAACAACATTTTTAACAAGGATTGTAATTGCAATATTATCTTGTTTTTGCTAAAGGTAAGATGATTTGCTTGCTTTGTAATATTCCAATATCAACATTAAAGAAACTCAATGCTCATCAGCATTAGGACACTCATAAGGACCACAAATATTTTAAATTAGAGGGAGAGGTGCTAAAGATCGTATTGCAGAAATGAAAAGATAAAAAGTAAAAGCACAAGACAAGTCTTTCAAGCAGTAGTAAGACCTGGAAATAATGCCACTGAAACAACTTATACCCCTGGGGATGGGAGCAGGGAAATGAAGGCCATTCAGTGATGCAGAAATTATAAAAGAATACATTGGGCCTGGTACAGAGGTTTCATGCCTGTAATCCAAGAACTCTGGGAAGCTGAGATGGGAGGATCACTTAAGCTCAGGAGTTCAAGATCAGCCTGAGCAAGAGTGAGACTCCATCTCTACTAAAAATAGAAAATAATTACCCAGGCCTGGTGGCTTATACCTGTAGTCCCAGCTACAGGTCAAAGCAGGAGAACTATTTAAGTTCAGGAGTTTAAGGTTGCTGTGAGCTAAGCTGAGGCCACATCACTCTAGCCTGGGCAATAGAGCCAGACTCTTATCTCAAAAAAAAAAAAAAAAAAAAAAGAAAGAAAGAAAGAAAGAAAAATAAGTGAATTGTCAATGTTTTAGGATGCTTAGAACTTGATGACATTTCAAACTACCAACAACTGCCTCTTTCAAGGAGAACTATAATTGATTGGCAGCATGAATTAGCTTTAAATGTAACAAAACAACTTCATGTAATATTTCAAAAGGAAAATATAAATTATTCAGTCACTTTTGATGAATTAACTGGTACGACTGACTTGGAACAGATTTTATACTTCATTCAGGTCATAACAAGATTTTCTTTGCTGTGAAGAATTACTCAGTTTGGACACTCTTGAGAACAGAACATGGGAATAAGTTTCTTCAACAATTTTCAAAATAAGTGTTGCAAAGTCAGACTTAATATGGTAAATTTAGTGAGTATATGTATAGAAGACGCACCTTCCGTGACAGGAAACTAAGAAGGGCTTATTGCTCAGATTAAGAAAAGTATTAACAGATCCAGATGCCTTGCTTTTTTTTAATTGCATCAGCAAAATCTCTGTAGCTCCTATTTTAAGTGACATTTTACAACAAGTTATTAAGGATTGTTAACTATATTCCTGCAAATGCAACAAGAATTGTCAGTTTTGTAACATGCTTAAACTGAAAGATGAGGTAATCAGTGTGGATTTGTCCTAGTTTTCTCAAATGTATTGGCTATAGCAAGGTCAAGTGTTAGTCAAAATTTTATTTCTGTAAGAACAGGTAAATGAACAGAAGCAGCAATGTGAATTATTGAAAGATGATTTCTATAGGAATGAAGCATTTCTGTGTGATATCATGTCAAATCAAAATGATTTGAATATTTCTTTGCAAGTAAGGCAGAACTAAGTCTATATATAATGTGTGGCAAAAAAAAAAAAAAAAATATATATATATATATATATATATATATCTAAGGCTCGGTGCCTGTAGCTCAAGCGGCTAAGATGTCAGCTATATACACCAGAGCTGGTGGGTTTGAATCTGGCCTAGGCCTGCCGAACAATGACAACTACAACCAAAAAACAACCGGGCGTTGTGGTGAGCACCTGTAGTTCCAGCTACTCAGGAGGCTGAGGAGAGAGAATCACTTAAGCCCAGGAGTTGAAGGCTGCTGTGAGCTGTGACTTCACAGCAGTCTACTCAGGGCAATAGCTTGAGGTTCTGTCTCAAAAAAAAAAAAAAAAGATCCAAGCATTTCAAGAAAACTATCTTTTGTCAAAATATTTCTTCAAGAGAAAATTTCAGATGAACATTTTCCCCAGTTGGTAAAGATCACTATGAGCAGCATGATCAATGCAAATTATTTGAAGAATACACAACTATTACAGACCTACTAATTAGAGAGAGAACACAGTAAGGTTCACTGACTTGGAGAATCATGATATCACACCCAAATTAGCATTTCAGCCTCACCTAATTGAAACCACCAAGGTACCTCAAAAACTACAGATGGAACTGACTGAGCTCTCAGTGGATGACTTTTTTTTTTTTTTTTTTTTTTTTTTGAGACAGAGCCTCAAGCTTTCCCCCTGGGTAGAGTGCCGTGGCATTACAGCTCACAGCAACC